TCTAGGCTACAGGAGCAAGCAATTTTTCTTTTGCCTGGTGTAAAAACTCTTTGGAATTTCAGAGTTACCACATTTCATATTTCCTCAACAGATGATAAGCTCTGCAGCACCGCCCCCGGGACCTGAACTCTCACCCTCCAAACTAGATGGCTCCCAGGGAGGAGAGGTAGGGACACCACACCATATGAGTACAGCGTGTGTGTGTGTGTGTGTGTGTGTGTGTGTGTGTGTGTTGTGCATTTGTGTCTTATGTGTATGCATGGATGAAAAAGGGGGGCATGTGTATGCATGTGCATGGGTGTGTGCATGTGCATGTATGTGTGGTCGTGTGTGGGTGCGGTGGGGTATTATGGCCTGGAATGGAAGCTTAGCCAGCTCAGTGGATTGGTTAGTGGCTTCTCTCTTTAGAAATGTGTGTGAGTCTGCAGAAAAAGGAAATGCAAGGCTGAAACACTTAATGTATTTTATTCACGGAAAGACATTAATTTGTGTGATCACTTTGGCTTCGGAGCTCTGAGCTCCTAACATCATCATCCTCTAGCCAGGTCTCCCTCAGAGTAGTCTGGCAATTGCTGAGGGCTATACAGATTTTTCCCCTTCTCAAGAGTTATGATGGTTTCTTACCAAAACTGTGGAGGGCATTTGAAGCTATCTCTGACTGTCTTCATTTGAGTGACATTGATTCTAATGGCATCATAAAGCTTTTGAACCCAGCTGGCAGCTTGGAGTAGTGGCGCATGCTGATCTTCATGTCTGTATCTGTGTGTGTTCTTGCTGTTCCATAGCTCTCGCGCTGTAGCTCTCTGAGCTCGCTCTCACAGGAAGTGAGCCGACATTTCCATCAGGTACCTGTGGCTGGTGGCTCCCTCCTTCCATGGGGCTGGCTGTGTAGCCCCTATGTCCCTTAGAGAGTCTGTTGTCCTCTTCACTTGTCACTAACCCCTTGACTTACTCAAGCATCATGTGGGCAAAGACGCAGTTTTCCTTCATTAAAGGACCTGGGTTTAGGATACTGCCTGGACATGATGGTGGTGGACTTGCCTCACAGGGTTTTGAATGCCCAGGTGAGCTATAACTCTGCTCCTTGTGAAGTGGACCTGACCCCAGCCATACTGTCAGCATCACCTGAGTTAGGACACCACTTGGGAAGAAAGATTTCTTCTTGCTGATGAGGCTTGAGGAAGTCTGTTTGCAGCCAGGGAGAGTATGGCTGTGATGGCCATCTTGCAACTAGTCTAAAGGAGGCAAGGATGCTTCACTTTCTGTTCTGGAGCCAGGCTGTCAGTAGCTTTCAACGGAAAGTCTTAAGGGAGCATTTCTGGCTGCCTGTGGCTGTAGAGCAAGCACACTGTCCAGGTCTCCTAACCGCTTGACCAGCACTGATGAAATATCAGTGTTCTGTGTTCATTGTCTGCATGTTTCTGTTCGGATTATTTTGCATGGTGCTTTGACTTTGGCTATTCTGTGAACCATCCAGTAATGAAAACCAGTGTTGCCAGAGCTGTCTCTCTCTGGGGCCTGTTTGGCGCATTAATGGTGCTTTCTGAGGTGTGGCTTTTGTCTGCTGCTGGGTCAGCAACTGCTGTGTAACACTGGCTTGCTGAGCTCCTTCTCTGTGCTTCACAGGCTCCTGGAGACCACTGTCCTGCAGGAGTCACTCCAGGCGGGTCTGTGCCCTTTTACAACCCTGCTCAGTTGGTGCAGGTGAGTGACCCTTGCCTATGTTCCCCACAGCCCTAGCTTGCCTGTTCAGTGAGTTGGGTTTTTTTTTTCTCTGACTCTTCTTTTTGTTTTTGTTTTTTTGAGATGTGGTTTCTCTGTGTAGCCTTGGCTGTCCTAGAACTCACCTTTGTAGGTGCCTGGCTGTTCTTTCATGCCCTAGATTTGCCTTCTTACTTAACCTGCATCCTCTGCTTGCCTCCTGTTCCTCCCACTGCTTTGGGCTCTTCAGGTTTAGGACTTTTCTTTCTGTTCCTTGTCATGGGCTGAGGGCAGCCTCCTGTCTTGCCAGTCTCCCATTGCTACATAGGATGTATGGCTTTAGCCACAGCCTCCCAGCCCCAGCCATTAGCTCTCCCTCCTCCCTCCTTTTCTCCTTGAGAGGAGCTCTAACAAGGAGACCCCTAGTTTGGAATCTTTTATGTTTCATTCCTGATTAATCCCTCTGTCTGGGTAACACACTGTCCAGCAGCTTCAGGCCTCAGCAGCTGATTTTGGCTCTGCCCTAAGTGCTGGGTTGGGAGTTTACTGGGTGTGGTTTTCAGATGGGAATTTTCACCAGGTCAAAAGAAGTAGTGCCATTTTCTGGTGCCCACTGTGAGAGTACAGGCCCTCATTCTGTTTCTGAAGACTGAAATGGCATCTTTCATTTGGGGTCAGTCATTGCCTGCCAGGAAGAGTCTGGAATGCACTGTATGCTTTCTCTCTGGCCACTGTTAGGGGGAGCTGTGGAAGAGACAAGCTCTTGGCAGGCATTTTTATTTTGGGAGCAGGGGACTTGAGTCAGGCGCTCATACATGCTAACCAAGTACTCTACAAACTGAGTTACATCCCCAGTCCTGCTGCATGCATCTTGTATGTGTGTGGGTTGTTTTTAATAGAAGAATAAACAATCAAAGTTTATTATTTAAATTTTTATTTTATGTGTATGTGTTTTGCTGCATATATGTCTATGCCGTGTGCATGCCTGGCACCTACAGAGACCAGAAGGCAACAGCTCTCCAGGAACTGGAGTTACAGACAGTAGCTTAAATTTGAATGTGCTATTCTCAGCTCATGCTCACAGGGACCCTGCCTGCCCTTGGCTGTGCTAGACCCAGTCATGGTCTCTATATAGTCCTCTTGGGGGTGCTGGCCCTGTGCTGATGAGGTTACTGTACCCCTAGTCACCATTTATGTCCATATTTTCAACTACAAAATCTCATTTTTCTTTTGACCTTGTAGTTGAATAGTTCTGCCAGATTCCTTGGCTTTGATCCCAATGCAGTCTTGTGAGGGAGGAAGAATGTGTGCCAGTGTTCTCTCCTGGCATGGAGCATCCCTGTGCTTTGCAGCAACGGAAGACCATAGGCCACATCCACTCTTGGACTCACTGAACCCTTAGCTGGCCCAGCTGTGTAGAGCTAGCCTCAGCCCTCTGGCCTTGACAGAAGTGTGACCGAGTGCAAACAAAGCATGTCTGCAGTGCTGTGGGCAGGAAGTGCTGAGCAGCAGAAACGTGGCACCTACAGAAGGTCTCATGCGTGACGCTAACACAGAGCTTGCCTGTTCTCAGTTCTCCCCGTGCTTACCCTGTAGATCATCCTGCTGCACAGCCCCTGGGCATGGACACTGTAGGTCACTGCTGTTCCTTTTGTTCCAGGCTTCTGTCACCTCGGGGAACTCAAGGCCAGGGAGGATTGGCCAAAGAAAATACGCGGCATTGAACTAGGAGTGCTGCTGGATTGTACTTGGAACCCTGAGATGACTAGATAACGGTTCTCCACCAAGAACCAAACTGGCTGCCTCAGGCCTCGTGGATCCCAGATGGGCTTGGCAGTAACCCAGAGCCGGTCATACTGTGTGTCTCCCTCCTTACAGCCCATGTATATGAATTACTGAAAAATTGATTCCATGCTTCCTTTCTGATGCTGGATAGAATGAATCTAATTCAAAGTCTTTTATGTAAAAGAACTATGTTTCTTTCCTAGTCACTTTAGACAAATTAAGGATATAATAGTTTGAGTCTTTTGAGAATACTCCTGACGTGAGGCTAGACAGGGCTTCCCCACAGGAGAGCATAGTTCCTTGGAAACCAGGGCCTTGCTCACCTGAGAAATGGTGCAAACCAACCAGGATTCCTTAGGCTGCTGAGAGAAGAGTGAGTGCTTGACTGGAGATGAACTGCCTCTGTTGGGCTGCCTGGCCTAAGGAAGAGCCACTAACTTGGGCTGCTCTGCCCTGTCCTGTGAACCAGGTCCTCTGGGGCCACCAGATGGCAGTGGCCCACAGGCTGGGAGGAAAGCTATTACCAGGGCATGTCCCCAAGAAATTCCCAGCTTCACTCCATTTTCTGTGGCCTGATTAGGGCTGGGTGGATTTTACTGCTCAGAGTTTCCCCTTGTGGCCCAGTCACTGGGGAGAGCCCCAGGGAGCTGATGTTCTGAAGCTGCTGATCTGATTAGCCAACCAGGTCAAAACCTGGCTGCATGCTGCAAAATATTGCCCTCCTAGTGAGGGGTCTGTATGGGCTGTGTGGGGCCCTCCAGCTGACTCACCTGCACAGACATCTTTCAAGGACTTGGTGGTATCCTAGCAGACACTCTGGGACCTGACATCTCTACCCCAGAGCCCATCAGGGACCGCAGCAGCTGCCCACTGACTCAGCCACATCCCTCTTCAAGGAGCTGCTGCTGCCTCAGACTCAGAGCTTTAAGGCTTCACTGACTGTTCCTAAAACTATCCTTTTACTCTAAAGAGGAGGGGACAGAGATTTTTTAAATATTTAATAAAATCAGCAGGTAATTTGGGTAGAAAACATAAATGGTTTGGTTTGGTATTAAATTTAGAAATTGTAGACTGTGGAATTAGTACAGCCCTTCCTGGTTTTCTGGTTCCCCGCATCATCTAGAAATACTCACAGAATGGTTTCCAGAATGTTCCATAGGTGAGTGCGCCCAGACCCTCCTGTATGGTCACTAAGAAAGGCCTGTCCCTGAGGGTCAGTAGCACCTTGTGTCCTTACTGGGACCAGGCAGGATACTTGCCTCTGGTGCAACCCTGCCCAGGCTCTGTGTTGACTGCCAACCACTTTTGATTCAAGAAGCTTCCTCCCTGGGAGCTGCTATTTTTCCTAAATTAAAATTGTTAAATAAAATATTTTGGGCTCTCAAGAACCTCATTTATGGCTTCGTTTGTGTTTTGAGGGGCTGACCAGTGAGATCCTAAGTGTGACCGCAGCCTTGGGCTACTGTCGGGTTGGACATGGTTTGTCTGGAGTAGGTACCGCCTCTGTCGGACAGGGCGTGACCTCGTGTGGGGGGTGTGGCTTCCGGGCACGGGGTGTAGTCCTCCAGCCTCCAGGGGCCGCTGTGGGCGGCGTTGTGATACTGAGCTGGGCAGTTTGTAAGCAACCACAGAGCGGGGCCTGGGCCAGGGTGACCACTAGGCTGAGCTGTGGCGAACCCTGGGCGGGGGCACGGGGCAGCAGTCGTTGTTCCAGCCGCCACCGTGACTGGGCTAGCCCCGCCTCCCAGCACCGGGCCCTGCTGAATCAGAACAGGCGGCGGGTCTGCGGGTCTGCGACCGAACGGTGGGCACAGGTGAGCCTAGGACGGCGAGCGCGCTGCCCTACTCTGCCAGGGTCGGGTGGAGTGGTCACCCAGGGTGTGGGATAGATTTCTACAGCTCCGAGGAGGAAGTGCAGCCCCCACCCCCTGGTGCCTATTCCTACGAGGTCGCTTTAAGAGCATCAAGCTGGTTTCAGGGAGCTAAGAGAGATTTTCCGGATCTCCTTAGGTATCTATGAGAACTCAGGACTCCAGCCATGCAGCCACAGGCCCTGCTCCAAAAGGACCGCCCCATGCCTCAAAGGGAACCACCCGAATTTTCTTGGCATCCAACTGGTGACCTCTGACGTGCATCCTTGACAACACGAGTTGCTTGCTAACCTCCGAGAGAGGATCCCTTTCCTTAGGAGGGCCAGGCTAAGTGGGTGAGGTCTGGCCTGGTCCGGACTATGCCGTCCAAGTCAGCTTGCCTGCGTCGTCACACGGAGGTACCTGGGCAGCTGGAGGGCAGAATGCTCCAGGGACAGCTTCCAAACACAGACAAGAACCTCACCCCAACACCGGTCTCCCTACCAGCCACTGACCCTCACACTCCAGAGATAAACCCCATGCCTCCTTTCAGCATTCCAGCAAAACCAAACAACCAGAACCCAGAAGCTAAAGCAAACCCCATCACCCCACAGCTGCCCATGAGACCCAAGTTGGAGCGAACCCTGTCCCTGGATGACAAGGGCTGGAGAAGGAGGCGTTTCCAGGATAGTCAGGAGGATCTGACTGTCCAGAATGGGACCAGTCCCTGCAGGGGCTCCATGCAGGACTCTGTTGCCCAGTCTCCTGCCTGCAGCCGGCCCCTACCCTGCCTCAGCACATCTTTACAGGAGATCCCTAAGCCCCGAAGGGCCACAGGCAGTGAGGGCGGGAGCCCATCCTTGTGGAGTGACTGTCTCCCTGGTATGATCAGCACCTCCTTGGACCTCCTGCACAGAGAGGCCTCCCCAAGTGGGGGCTCCCCCAGGTTGGCAAGTTTGCATGCCGCACACACACCACCCGCCATGGACCTCAACATAGCCTCCACCTCTCTGAGAACAGCCAACAAGGTTGACCCCGAGCATGCCGACTACAAGCTCCGCATGCAGACCAGGCTGGTCAGGACCCACAGCAGCCTGGGCCCTAGCAGGCCCCGGAGCCCCCTGGCTGGTGACGACCACTCCATTCACTCAGCTAGATCTTCCTTCAGCCTTCTGGCTCCCATCCGCACCAAGGACATCAGAAGCAGGTAGGCTTCTTGGTGGGGAACTCGGGGGCTATCAGCTCTGTCTAATCAGGCCAAGGGCACACTGAGCCAGGCATGGTGGCTCGTGCTTGTAGTCCCGGCACTTGAAAGGCAGAGATAGGGTAATTACAAGTTCAAAGCCAGCCTGAGCTACATAGTGAGCTATCTATATACCTAGGTAAGTGAGGAAGACTAGCTGCACAGGGGCCATAAAGAATGTGGAAGATAAGGCAGGACTCCCATCCTCTTTCAGACATCCTGCCTTTCTCCTTCTGTCTGTCTCATTCCAGAACCTTTTCTTTGTGGCTCAATGTCATCCACAGACACTGTAAACGTAGATCATTCTACCTCCACCGTATGTAGGCGGATGAGGACACACCCATCTTGCTATCATTGCTCCCATAGTTGCTACTTCCTCGCATCCTGGCGGGAAGTTTTCTCGGTGTCTGAATTGGTCCCTTTGTTTTTTCTGTGTGGAGGGTCGCAGGTTTCTTTAGCTATGCCTTTATTGAACCACTGCCCGTGAGGAGCAGTCAGCGACCCTCAGTGACACCTGAAGAAGGGTTGAGTACTGTCCCATCACAGTGGGCCACGGGTCAGAATTTTAACAGGACGTTTAGACACCAGTTAAACTACTGGACCAAGTGACATCCCGGGGCCACAGGCTTGACTAGTTTACCATATGCCCTTGGGAGAGCTTCCACACTGTCTTGAGTCACAGGGTCCCAGTGTCTGTGGTGGGGATTTGCTGATGTCCACGGAGGCCTCTAACATGCCATAACATTCCAAGAATGTACAGGACCTCTGTTTCTTGTGCTGGGTCTTTCCGACTCCAGTCATTAACTTGTGTGGACTTACAGAAAAGAGCCTGGGGGTAGCCAGGATGAGCCCTTCCTGCCTATGATGTCTCCATGCTGACTCTACTCTCCTGAATCCACAAGCCGCATCCACCACTGGGGGCACAGGCCCAGTGCATGGCCTGTCCAAATCTAGAGCCTCATTTTCCAAGCTGGCCGCCTTCTGGGGTCTTGTTCTTGGCCCGTAAGGTGCATCCTGCCTCTCTCCCCCACAACCATGTTGTGGGACAGAGGTGGGTGGGGAAGTGAGAGCAGGGAGAATCTGGAGATGGCTCCTGCAGCTGTTTCCAGGAGCTGCCCTGACGGGTGACTATGGGTTAGAAGGTTTCATACAAAGAGACCTCGCGGCAGAAAATGGAATGGATTGTCAGCAGGGTTTCCTCGATCTAGAGAGCCAAAAGGACCTACCTTTCCTCTGAGAGCGGTGTGATCTCTGGCAGTGTAGCTCCTGCCTACATCTCCGGGTGGTCACTTCTAAGTTTCCAGTCAGTGGCTCCAGCCATGCTAACTGTAGGGCCCTCTTCTGGAGATGCTGCGGTGCTTGTATCTGCACAGACTGCTTACAAAGAGGGTCACATTCTGAGGGGTCAGGAGGTGGGGAGCACCATTCAGTCCCCTTTAGATGCTGAAGGTAGGCCTTACTCCCTGTACTCATAGGCAGGCCTACAGGTAGGGCCCTCTATCCTCTACGCCACACTTCTTCACCAAGCCTGGCTCCTCTTTGACATGCCCTGGTACCCTTCTAGCATGTCTAGTTATCAGTCGGCCAGTAATCCTATATATATGCATTGACATTTGACCTGCATGTCTTTGTGAGGGAGTCAGGTCCACTGAAATTTGAGTTACAGACAGTTGTGAGCTGCCATGTGGGTGCTGGGAATTGAACCTGGGTCCTCTGGAAGAGAGCAGTCACTGCTCTTAACTACTGAACCATCTCTCCAGCCCCCCAGCAATCCTTTTAAATATTTAAATATTTTTATTATTTTTAATTAGGTGTAGGTGTGTGTGTGTGCATGTGCACACCCACGGGCATGTAGGTATTTCCATGTGAATACAGGTGTCTGCAAAGGTCAGAAGTGTTGGATTCCCCAGAGCTGGAGTAATAGGCAGTTGTGAGCTGTCTGATGTGAGTGCTGGGTACCAAATTTGGATGCTCTGAAAAAGCGGCAAGCACTCTTAACCACTGAACCATTTCTCCAGTCCCACAGGGGTCTTTAAAAGAGTACTGTATCTACCACATTCAAAGCATTATTACTTGCAATCCATAGGAAGTGAAAATAAGTCTGAGTGATATCCGTGGGCCCCTATTGCATCCCTGGGAAGTAATGGAGGAGGGGCTGCAGTAGTCTTTCTTGGACCACCAACCCCCAAATCATAATACACTTATTATTAATTATGAAAGCTTGGCATTAGCTTAAACTTGTTTCTAACTAGCTCTTATAACTTAAATTAACCTATTTCTATAAATCTGTGTGCTGACACATGGCTCATGGCTTTTACCTCTCCCCTTGCATGTCCTGCTTCCTCTCCATCTTCTCTGGCATCCTTCCTAAGCCTAGATTCAATTCATCTCTTCTTTCTCTCTGCCCAGAAGTCCTGCCTAACCTCTTCCTGCTTAGCTATTGGCCATTTGGCTCTTTATTTTTTATTTATTTATTTATTTTAATTTGGCTCTTTATTAAACCAATCAGAAGGCACCTTGGCAAAGACACATCTTCACAGTGTACAAAAAAGATTATTCTGCAGCAAGGGGCTTGGTCCAGTTCTGCCTCATACTTCACAACCACAGTTTGTGGGGTTTGGTTCTTTACTACCGTGTGGGTCCTTGGAATCACTTACGCCATCAGGTTGGTGGGAAGCACCTTACTGAGTCATTTCACCAGCCTAACCTGCCACTTTGTGTGCATGTGACAAGTTCTCACTATATAGACCAGGCTGACCTTGAATTCACAAATATCCAGCCTCTTGGATTAAAGACTTCATTGCCATTTTTCACCAGAAGATCTGGGGTACCCTCCCTTAAATGGGTTGGGAAGAAGCTGTGCCCCCTAAGGCTGGGCACAGCAGTGAGCTTCTACCCTGCCGCTGTCCAGTCACTTTCTGTAGTCACTTGGACAAACTGTGGCTCCCTAGGTTGGAGGAAGCAGGGTCAGCCTGTAAGGAGGGACACAGGCTTAGGGGCTGGTGACTGAAGACTAGCCTGGGCCTGCCTTTGTTCAGTGGTCCTTTCCTAATGGTATGTGACTCGGAAATTTGCTCCACCCCAACTGGTGTCTGAACCCAGCTAGCACATTAGTGACTGATTCATCTACTTGGAGGTGAGATCCAAAAGGTCCCTCACTGTGACAGCTTGGTTTCCCTCCTGAAAGTATACAGAGCTGTACCATCAGATGTTCTGTCCAGTGGGGTTCAGGAGCATGGTTCTGGCTTCAGTCGGCCATTGATCTTCGGGACTTGGTTATAATTGGATCTTCAGAGGAACATGGTTTTGTCCATGCATTCTGAGCAAGTTTGGCAAAACCAGTAAGGTAGGCTAAGCATTGTGGAGCATACCTTCATCCCAGCTACTGGGAGACAGGCAGGAAGATCCCCAGTTGAAGGTCAGCCTGGGCACAGCAACACTTCGTCTCAAAACAAAACAAAAGAAACAAATCGAAAAAGGCCCAGGATGTAGCTCAGGGGAGAGGTAGCTCATGTAGCACGCATGAAGATATGGGTTCCATCTCAAGCATCACTAAAAATAGGGTGAGGGGTAGTTGGAGAGATGGCTCAGTGGCTGAGAGCACTGCTGTTTTTGCAGAGGACCTGGGTTTGGTTCCCAGCACCCACATGGTGGCTCACAATCATAAGTCAAGTTCCAGAGGGGTCTGATGCCGCCTTCTGACCAAAAGCACCAGGCATGCACATGCATGGTGCACATACACACATGCAGGCAAAATACTCATACAAATAAAATAATTTTGGGTTTTTTTTCTTGTTTGTTTGTTTGTTTGTTTTTAGAAAGACAGCCCAGGGGCTGGAGAGATGGCTCAGAGGTTAAGAGCACTGGCTGCTCTTCCAGAGGTCCTGAGTTCAATTCCCAGCAACCACATGGCTCACAACCATCTGTAGTGAGATCTGGTGCCCTCTTTTGGCATGCAGGCATACATGCAGGCAGAGCACTGTATATGTAATAAATAAATCAAGAAAGAAAGAAAAGGAAGGAAGGAAGGAAGGAAGGAAGGAAGGAAGGAAGGAAGGAAGGAAGGAAGAAAGGAAGGAAGAAAGGAAGAAAGGAAGAAAGGAAGACAGCCCAGACCGTCTTGGTACTTACTTTGTAGACCAGGCTGGCCTCAAACTCACAGAAATCCGTCTGCCTCTGTCTCCTGAGCGCTGGGACTAAAGGAGGTTGCCACCACTACCCAGCAGGACTTCATTTCTTAAAGGGCTGGAGAATAATGCAAACAAATCTAATATTTCTCAGTGCATGAAAAATTATGTGATATTCGGATTTTTAATGGTCTATTTATATTTCATGTGCATTAGGGTTTTGCCTGTATGTTGTGTGTGTGAAGGTGTCAAACCCCTTGGAGCTAGAGTTATAGACAGCTGTGAGCTGCCACATGGGTGCTGAGAATTGAACCCAGATCCCCAGGAAGAACAGCCTGTGCTCTTAACTGTCCATCTCTGTCCATCCCTCCGACCCTGAGATTCAGATTTTATTGCCCTTATAAACACATCTTTCTGGGCACACATCATTTCTGTCTAAGGGTTTTTGTGCTTCTGTGCTGTGGCAATGAAGTTGAGTGATAGGGCAGAGACCCTGTCACCCACAGGACTGTGTATATCCAGTATCTCTGTCCAGGATGCTTGGGCAGGCCCTCTAGTTCATGACGCACACTTGTGTGCTGGGTAGGTCAAGAGATTCATCACACTGTTAGGACTGTATCTCAGCTTGTCAGGCGTGGCTTCATTCCACTGAAATCTGGAGATGGGCTGAAGTCGGGGAGATGGGTGTCACAGTGGCTTGCTATGAAAGTGGTCCTGCACTGGAATTCCCAGCTCCAGAGGTGACACTGATGCCTGGCATGTCAGTGTTGTCCTCAGGGTTCACATGGCTTGTAGGACTGATGCTTTGGAGAAAGTGGCTCCAGAGGCACCTGTCACTGAGGTTAGCTGCTCACTTGTCTCTTTTTGCAGGAGCTACCTGGAGGGAAGTCTTATGGCCAGTGGAGCCCTGCTAGGAGCAGATGAACTAGCCAGGTACTTCCCAGACCGGAACATGGCTCTCTTCGTGGCCACCTGGAACATGCAGGGCCAGAAGGTGAGAGGGGTCACAGTGAGGTAAGGCAGAGGCAGCTGGGTTCCATGTCCTTGGAGAGCCTATTCCCAGAGACCCCAGCACAGTCCACTGGTCACAACACGGGCATAAAGATAAACAAGCGGGCTGCCTCCATCTCTGTGAGCCCTTGTGAAGGACTAGGGTTGGACATGCACCTGGGGAGGATAATCAGACCTGGTTCATGCTGCACAATCTAGGGTACCTGGTAAGGTGGGACCCAGGCTGGAAGGTAGTAAGTGAACAAATCTGGGCTCAAAGAGGGAAACTGAGGTATCTGACATGTCACGGTTCCCTGGGAGAGCAAACCCACAGCCGTGCACAACTTCTCTTTGAAAAGAGGCTGTTCTGTGACCGCCCTGAGATGACTGTGCAGGGGCTTGCTCTTCAGCTTCTGCCCCCAGACCGGAGGGAGCCTCGTGGTCTTGACTGTTGTGTGGCTCTTCACTGCAGGAGCTCCCGGCGAGCCTGGATGAGTTTCTGCTCCCCACGGAGGCCGACTATAGTCAGGACTTGTATGTCATTGGCGTTCAGGAGGGCTGCTCTGACAGGTGAGGCACCGTGCAGCCGCCACTGTTGGGGCCTCCACCGTCCTGTGTGGACAGTTCACTGAGATAGTCCTGTAAGCCTGAAGGGTGGGACGTGAGGTCCTCCTATGGGGCTAGATAGCAGCCCCCATGCCTCACTGAAATGAATGTACCTATAGTCAGCGGTGTTTCAGGTTTTGTCTGCAGTTGGCCAAGGGAGCACAGAAGCAACCAAGATACCTGGTTCATACACAGGTTCTGGACTGCTGCAGTTCTGGCCACATATCCCGTGGCACCCTGACTGCTGTCCCTGGGAAGTGATCCCATAGCTATGTGCTTCTAACTGCAGCTCGTGGGGTTCCCTGGCCTGTTAGGAGAGCAGCAGGCCTGCTGCATGCTCTGGGTTAGAGAACCTGTCCTCAGAGGTCCCAAGTAGTGATGGGGCCCACCCCTGCCAGCCTGCAGAACTCTGACAGCTCTTCTGGTCTTAGGTGGGATTGGAAGTCTGCACATACCATCAGAGGGGGTTCGGGCCTGCAGCCAGCCTGAAGGGTCTCACAGCGCACAAAGATGCCATTAGCCTTGTCATTATCATCAGTACGAGGCCCAATTTGAGGGGCACCTAGGAATGCTTCCAGGGGCTCTCTGGGCAGCAGATAGGAGAAGGTGGCACTAAAAGGCCACCGTTTATGTAAAGGCCATGCCTTATAACCTGCTTCCTCCTCACAGGCGAGAGTGGGAGACACGCCTGCATGAGACACTGGGCCCTCAGTATGTGTTGCTGTCGTCAGCAGCACATGGGGTCCTGTACATGTCCCTGTTTATCCGAAGGGACCTCATCTGGTTCTGTTCAGGTAGGTGCCGCCACGGGGCTTCTCCGCCACCACTCCTCTTTCCGTTTCTCCCTCTCTCTCGCTCCCGTGTGTGCCTGCACCACAGAGCACATGTGGAGGTCAGAGGACAACCTGAGTCAGTTCTTCACCGCAAATAGGAGTTCAGGTCTTCAGGGTTGACGTCTTCATGGCCTGTACCGTGGCTTCTGTATCTACCACTCCCAGGGATCTAGGTACCTCCATATACAGGCTCTGATAACATGTAGCTCCTGTCAACATTCGGGTCCCCTGACAGCAAACTGCAACCTCTCTCATGCCCGGAATCCAGCCTCTGAGGTTCCCGTGTCTGAATACACACGCACAGCTACACTTACTGCAGCTGTGCTCGTGAAGGCCCTGAACCCCCATTCCTCGCCTTGCAGAGGTCGAGTACTCCACGGTAACTACGCGCATCGTGTCTCAGATCAAGACCAAGGGGGCCCTGGGTGTCAGCTTCACCTTTTTCGGCACCTCCTTCCTCTTCATCACCTCTCACTTCACCTGTAAGTGTTTGCAAGGCAGTCATGTGGTCCTGATGCTGGTCTCGGAGCAGCTTCCCCTCCTCACAGGTCGCTGTGGGCGGGTCATGGTGGGCTCTGCCTCAGGGCCCGACACTCAGGACATTCGCTTCTGTCAACCACAGTCCTCCGAGGCAGAGCACTGCAGCAGGCCACTGGGTGGTAGTGGGGGACAGTCTGGGTGTGGGGCAGTCTTCCTGGCAGGTTTTTCACAGAAGCTCAAGTGTCTACTCTGTTGGCCTCATAGCTGGAGATGGGAAGGTAGCTGAGCGGCTGCTGGACTACAGCAGAACCATCCAAGCCCTAGCCCTGCCCCGGAATGTGCCAGACACGAACCCCTACCGCTCCAGTGCAGGTGAGGGTTGTAGCAGCACAAGGCCCTCTGCACATGACTGTTTCTGTCCCTTGGTCCCTGGCAGCTTAGCCGAAACCACTGGAGGACTTTTGAGAATCATGAAGTCCTCACTACTGAAACAGCTACTAGGTTTGCACCTGGGCAGATGGGAGCCCACAAGGTCCAATGGCTTGCCCAGGGCCATCACTGTCCACAAGTTCTCACCGCTGAGCACTTCCTGGCCCACGCTGAGCTGTGAGCTGATAGGCTGTGGCTAGCCTGCTGCATGCATCAAGGCTGTCCCTTGCATATGGACTACACAGATGTCTTCCCAGTCCTCTGCAGCTGTTGACCTTGGCTGTTCCCCTCACTAGCCTCTTCCTGGGGGAGTTGTGGGGAAGGGGACCCACACAAAGGAGGACTTCCCGCTTGGCCTACAGCTCATCCACCTGTCAGCAGGCCATAGCAGGTGAGGGGAGGCCAGAACCAATGTATTCTCCCACATGTGCCCAGGGGATGTCACTACCCGCTTTGACGAGGTGTTCTGGTTTGGGGACTTCAACTTCCGCCTGAGTGGTGGACGAGTGGCTGTGGAGGCCTTCCTGAAGCAGGAACCAGAGGTGGATGTGCTGGCCCTCCTGCAACACGACCAGCTCACTCGGGAGATGAAGAAAGGTGAGTGGCCTGGGGAGCAGCTCCTTGGGTGTGGCAGGCCCTCCCTGAACTCTCCCGCGTTACAGGCTCCATCTTCAGGGGCTTTGAGGAGGCAGAAATCCACTTCCTCCCATCCTACAAGTTTGACATTGGTAAGGACACCTACGACAGCACCTCTAAGCAGAGGACACCTTCCTACACGGTATGTAACTTCAGCCTCGGGATTCCAGCCAGCTTAGCCAGCCTAAAACTCAGCTCCGGGCCTGAGGCCACTGACCGCATACTCACAGCTTACTGGGGGTGGAGGAGAGTTTCTGAGCCATCCCTGATTCACACCTGGGTTCATCTGTCTGGTACTAGGAAGGGACAAGGGAGACACATGCACCCTGCCTGGTTTTTCCACCAGACCACGATAGCACCTTGTGGGACCACGGGACATCCTTGAGGCAAGGCAGGTCCCCACTGCTCTCAGATGCCATCCACACAAGTCTTTAGATTCCTAACAGTAAGAGGTCCAGGTTCAGTGGGGAGGGCTGCAGGCCCCTTGCTGCAGAGGCATCTGTAGCAGAATGGCACAGTCTCTGCTCCTGCTTCACCATCTTTTCTGAAGGACCGGGTCTTATACAAAAGCCGCCACAAGGGTGACATCTGTCCCATGAAGTATTCCTCTTGCCCTGGGATCAAGACTTCAGACCACCGTCCTGTGTATGGCCTGTTCCGGGTGAAAGTGAGGCCAGGGAGAGACAAGTAAGTCCCTGCTCACCCTCAGAGCTGGCTGGGCTCTCTGAGAGCCCTTACCAGTTTTGGATGGGATGACTTTTTTGGGAGCGGTTACAGGCTTAGATGTAGAAGAGCATGTCACTGTTTCATGTTGTAACACAGCGGACAGACTGGGTGCCAACAAACCCCTAGGTTAACATAAAGTTGCTTTCATCTGAGCCTAGGTCCTAGCAGTTCTCAGGGTTTCCCTGTAACCCTCAGGTTGCTAACCTTTGGGGTTCCATGAACCAGCATCTTGTTCTATGACCTCAGGTTCCCTAGGTTGAGCAAGCTCCTGGAGCAGTATCCCACACACAGAATTGTGGTTGGGGCTAGGGCGGCCTAGATGGGATGGATGAACCATAACCTTATAAACACATAGTAGTGTCTACCTATATGGGGCTCAGCAGGTGTGTGGCTGGATGAAGTTTAAGCCAGTTCTTCTTACGGGTCTTTCTTCCACAGCATCCCATTAGCCGCTGGCAAGTTTGATCGAGAACTGTATTTGATAGGAATTAAAAGACGGATTTCAAAAGAACTTCAGAAACAGCAGACAATGAAAAATCAGATCTCTAGTGCTGTCTGCACTGTGTCTTGAAGTCACAAGTACTGGCCACTGCAGCTCAGGGACCAAGGCCACTGGAAAGAGATTGGGCTTGTGCTTGGGTGTCTCCTGCCACGTTGGGGTCGGTCTAATAAACCATGGCTAGGGCTATCCTGCTCTCACTACAGACCCCACCCCTCAGGACAGCATTGGGCCGGCCAGGCCATGCTTATGTCGGGGCAGGCCTGCTGTTTACGCCATGTTCCTACAGGCACATGGCGGAGATTTGTTCTGAGCATGGCTTATACCACCAAGCAGCAGCCACACACAAAAACTGTAGACAGTGGTGAGGCTTGCCCTAAGCAGCCCTCCCCACAGGAACGGCCAACTTCCTGCCATGGGGCACTGCAGCCTCTTAACCCTCTTTGTTCCTGTTCTCACGCCAGCCCCTTCCTCTTCTGGGGAGGGATCAGGCAACCTCTAAAAGCTTAGGTAACCAATGGTCCTAAAACCTGCCAAGGCCTAGAATTCAGAGACCAAAGCCAGTCACTTCTACATCCTGGCTCCATACTCCCGGCCTCCAGTTGAAAGGGGCCTCTCCTCTCCACAGCTGTTACTAGCTCATGGTTTTAGAAGCTTCAGACCATTGCTTTTGTGCTGCTAGCCCAGAATGGCATTAGAAGTGGTGTCGCTGGCAGCGCATTGGTGGGCTCCACTCCTTGAAGGTGGCTTAGAACTCATCATAGCTCTCAGTCTCGCCCCATCCGAGACATAGCCTTGAATGTACAGACACCTAGGGGCATCCACTCTAGTCTTCTAAATAATTTATTTTTCCATATTTATATTTTTAAATAAATGCATATATTTAATCGTGAGCTCTTTTTGGCCAAAGACTGAACCTTTGAAGAAGCAGTCTGCCATGCATTCCAGGGCCTCGGGACAACCCCAGGTTTTTAAAGGGCAATAGAAGTCAAAAAGCAGCATTTTTTTTTTAATTAAAAAACAGGGTTTCTGTTTAATAGCTCTGGCTGTCCTGGGACTCACTTTGTAGACCAGGCTGGTCTCAAACTTGGAGATCTGCCTGCCTCAGAATCTCGAGTGCTGGGGTTAAATGTGTGTGCTATGACCTCCCAGCAAAGGCAACAATTTTAGTCTTACCTGTCACCTGCTACTCAGCCCCATCCCAGGTCCTTCTGCTAGGTGTTGTCCCTGCTCATGGCCAGAAGTGGCAACGGCTGGGAAAAGTGACCACTTGGGACTCCAGTGACTCACAGTAAAACATGCTAACAAATGAGATAAAACTTGCCAACATCAGCTTCTAGAATGTGGGATGTCAGCAAACCCAGGCCTTTTTGCTTCAATAAACCACTCAAATGTATGTGGAAAGTGTCAGAATGTCAAATCAGCGAGCTGCAAATTCCCATTGAGATTTGTGGTAATGAAGCTCAGAATGTTCCCATGTCCGTCTGTCCCCAACCTCCCACAGGCTAGCTTTCTGCCTCAGTGGCTTCCACTATTGCTGATTTGAATAAGGTTTGGTGCTTTTTTGGGGGGGTTGGGGGGTGGGGGGAGGGGCAGCATTCAAGGCAAAGCTTCTCTGGGTACACTTGACTGCCCTGGAACTCACTCTGTAGACCAGGCTGACTCTAGCTCACAGAGATCTCTCTGCCTCTGCCTCCTGCTAGGATTAAAGGTGTGCACCACCACCGCCTTTGATGCTTTTTTGTGGACATTCTCTGGCCCTTTAAAAGGACTGAGGTAATCCTGAACATCCCAGGTTTGACCCAAGATGAACAACATCAAGTCTTGGGATGGGGGCAAAGTGCAGTGATGACCATTTACATTTAGACAGCCATTAGTTTACCCAGGGAATGTCAGTTAAACATTGAAGCCAGTGCAGATGAGGTGGGAAACTAGAAATGGGGCTCTGTAAATAACTGGGAGGCTCAACTGGCATGGTGACTCCTATTTGGATTCCCAGGATAATGGAGGCCAGCTTGGTGTCTACATACTGAGGTCCAGGCCAGTCAGGACTCTGCTGTGAGACCCTGTACGCTTTAGGCTGCAATGCTTTATCTCTGATCCGACCTCAAGCCTGCGCCCTACTCCCCAGCCTTCCTGGTTCTAGAATCTCTAGTGGCCAGACGGGCACTCCTTAGTAAAGAACACTTGTACTAGAGACACAGGTGCAGTGGCGACAGTAGCTTTCATTTAGGCTCTCCAAGTCTCACTGTTGGCAGTGCTCACAGAGCCAGCCGTCCTTACAGTGTCCACACCAACAATAACATGCACAGCACTCCGCAGCCTGCCCTCAAGGGCCCCGCAGGGACTCTACCGGAAGAGTCGGTATGTCCTGGGCAGGCGCCCATCTCTGCTGGACAGCGCTGCCTGGATATGCTCATAGGTGGGTAGGTCAGTCAAATCACCCAGGGCAGCCACAGCAGGCTTCCCACGGAGCATCTTGGAAGCAACTCTCTTGATATCTTCTGGCTTCACATTGCCTAAAACAGAGAGCAAGAGGCAGTGAAGAAAAGAGCAGAGTCTCCATCTTTATCCCGACTATGTGTGCATTCCACTCACAAAGGCAGGCCGAGGAGCCCTGACCTACACCATCTCCACAAGTGGGGGTGGAGGTGGGCACTGCCGAGGGATCCAGAAACTCAGCTACAGCTGGACCGACCAGGAGTGAGTCAGAGCAAAGTCAGAATAAATTTCCTTTAGGTGGGGAACTACAGTGGCTTAAAACTATTTTCTAGCTGAGTGCTGTGCACCTGTCATCCCAGCACGCAGGAGGGAGAGGCAAGAGGGTCAGGACTGGCATCAGCCTGGGCTTCATTAAGACCCTGTCTCAAATCCCCTGTGCAGCAGAAGAAACACCATTTCAAACACACAAAGGTGGCCAGGCAGGGTAAGGCATGCTCAGGCCAAGCTGAATGACCCAGAGTTTGAGGTCAATCTGAGATGTGAGTCTGTAAGACTTAAAAAAACAATCCAACAAGGGAGGGTATAGCCACCCCAAGAGGAGTCTCATGTTTAGACAGAATGGGTTGTCCTAAGTCCACTTTATTTTCCAGACCACATCCTCAAGTGCTACATTGTCAGCAGCCATGCACACACAGCCTGGCCTTCAAAGGGGTCCCAGCAATCCATCCTCCAGAACCACAACCAGGTCAGCTCATTTTTTTAGAGAAGATGAGGCCCCTCATGAGGGCAGAATAGGCACCTGTCCCACACCATGAGGACTCCAAGCCCAGGCAGATTATTTGAGGTGTCTTCGGGACAGGTGCCCCTACCTACAGTTCTGTACCAAGCTTCACACCCAGTTCCAGAAGACTGCAGACATGAGACATACTGCCAGAGCCACAGGGCAGAGCCTGCAATGAGCAGTGCCCAGCCAAGGACACTGCTCCACCACTAGCACCACCTAGTTCCCAGGGCTGAGGAGCCTAGCTGGTCCAGGATGGAGCTCAGAATAGAATCTGAGTTCTACCCAGGTTTTTCCTGCCACATTGCTGGGGAAGGCAAAGCTTGTGCTGTGGCAGACAGTGGACCCATCTGTCTATTTGCTCCAGGGCAGTCTTAAATAGCCCAACCCAGGCTTTTGTTTATACTCACGAATAAGTGCGCATAGCTCATGGGGCAACTTTCTTGAATGTGTAGCCAACACCTGTCTCCCCACATCCTCGAAGATCACAGGCCTGGACTCCAGGTTCATCATGAGCATCGACATCAGCTGCGTCTTGGCCCGCTCTAGTTCCACCTGAGGGCCAGACACCACCAGTCACCTACAGCTGGTTCATGCTGGCAAAGGGCTTGACCAGAACATGTCCCAGTAAAACGGTTCCATGTACCCAAAGACGGGCAGAGTGGAGATGCTGTTCCCAGTCTGGTTTCCAGTCTGGTACACCTCCTGAGTATTGGAGGAACTGTCCTGGGAAGGCCTTCAGCACACCCGAGACAGACACATGCCCAGTCTCTGGAACCACAGGAAAACAACATGCAATGGGGAAGCCACACTCAGCTACACAGGAAACCAGAGGATATTGATGAAACAAAGACTCTGGCTGCTCAGAATCCAGAGCACAGGACCCAGGCCACTAGCCCTTAGAGCTACTGAGGAGGCAGTAGAATAACAGCCGAGCCTCTAGCCAAGGGTGTACTTCAAAAAGGATCAGGACCACAAGGGGACAGACCGAGCTGAGTATGTCTGCCCTCGCTTGGGGGGTGGAACCCAGGGCCTTGAGCACACCTAGCAAGCTCTCTACCACGGAGCCATACCCCCAGACTTTGATTTGTTTTATATATTAGCTTAGGCTGGCCTTAAGCTCATAACCCTCTGCCTCCACTTCCCGAGAGCTGGGGTCGCAGGTATGTATTTGCTTTACCTCGTCGTGCCATGCTTTTGATTTTTAAGGGCATTTTAAGTTTTCAATAATGCTGCCTTTTTTCCTAAAAAAACCCAGTATATGGCATGTGATCACTGAAGAAAACGTGCATCATGCAGAAAGGGAAGGCAAAGTACATGCTCCAGCACATCTACTGCACCAGTGCTCTGCAAACCCGTAACCACTGAGAGGGACAGAGTGTTCTTAGGATAGAGCTCAGGAGACTGACTCCATAGTAGAATGGCCAGCCTGTGGCTCCTGCAGGTGTGTGAGTTAAGTGGCTCCCAGTGCAAGGGATGCTCCAGGCCTCACCAAATCCACTGTTCTGCCCATCAGGATAAACTCCTTTGTGATGATTTCCACCATTTCTCGAACCTGTAAAGGAGCATGAGACAAGGGTGAGCTGGAGCAGGGCCTGCTGACTTACTCCTGCCGCCACACCTAGAGCTGCGCTAGAGCTGCGCTACTGCTCTGGAGTGTAGACTGCAGTGGGACTAGAGCAGAGGGCTAAGAGCTGCACAGGCACGGGTGCTGCCTTTACCTGTCTTGGGTCTGCGCTGGCATGAATGCACAGGAGGCCTGTGTCTTCATAGCTGTGGTGGTAGGAGGTTGCATTGTACATCCAGTGGTGCCTGTGGGGGATATATTGTGTCCTGGTGACGGCGGCAGGATGGCTGGAAGGTGTCAGCACAGTCCGTGCATGAGCAGCAGTAGCCCAGCGGTACCTACCGATTGAGCACGTTAAGGTAGAGCCTGGAGAACATGCCTTTGCCAGGCCCTCCAGCAGAGAAGGAACCCCCTCCTCCCATCATCATATTCAGCACGGCAAAGGGGATGAAGTCCTCCTCCTGTGGAATGTAGAGTCACAGCAGTCAGTCACAGTGGCATGGCCCTACTGATGCACCTGGATCATACCTGGACTCACCAGGAAGGAACAGCTCTCTAGTCCCACCATGATGTGTGTGAGCTCAGGAATTGGGGTTGGACCAAGGCTGACATTGGACATGTCTCTCTCCACCTGTAACCAAGCAGACACATGTCAGCAAGACCAGCAAACCTTCCACTAAGCAAATAGACACCAGGTGACCTCAGCCCTGTCAACTCTGGCCTTGAACAAGGGATGTCCTCATGCTGTCAGTGCTGGACAGTACACTAAGGGGAATCACACACACCCATCAAAGCACATATCCGGAGAATATATGGCACGAGCCCTGCCCCCTTCCTGCTGAGTTACCTTGACAATCCCCCCAGTGTACTGTGCCACTGATCTGTCAACATCCACAGCTCCAGGAGCTCCCCAGGCAGGCTGAACTCCCAGGAGGTACTTTCTGGCACATTCTACCAGGTGCTCATGCTCCACTCCCACTCCAGCAAGCACCATGCGGTCGGGGGTGTAATAGTTCTTCAGGTAGGAATGCAGCACTTCTCGATCAATCTTCGCTATGTTTTCTGCAGGGCAAAACCGGTGCAGGCCCACTGTGTTCTCCCTAAAAGCAGCCTGCAACAGGGAAAAGGAGAATAAACAAAAGTAAGAAAACTTCAGGTCCCCTGAGGCAGGACTCCCCAACATGGTCTACTGCCCCATCTGTGATTAAAAAAAAAAAAAAAAAAAAAGCTGGGCATTATCTACGGTTTGCCCTCTTTTTTTGAGAGGTGGCACATGTCTATCTTAGCACTCACTAAACCTGAACAGTATAGCAGCTGTCTCAGAATACTAAGGAGCTAAGCCTGTTCTATAAGCCTCGCCACCTGCAAGGCCAACAGCAGGGAGAGGCACATGCGGACTCCTATTTTACTTCATGAATCATCTCGGTGAGCAGTGGCTCTGGGTCAGGTCTCATGTTCAGGTCCTCAAGTTCAAACTGGACAGCCATCCTCGTCATCTCAATTTCTTCATCTGCAATAATCCAAACAAAGGTTTGGTCTGAACCAACAAGGCAGAAGGCAGCACTAAGCCCGAGCAGCTGAGCCTGGTAGGTGCTATTATCAGTTCTTAGGGGAAGCCTCAGAGCACCTGCGTTTAAAGGGAGCGTTTAGGAACGTGCAGATGAATAGTAGAGACCCCGGTCTCTTGTCTTGTTCTGTTCTGAAGTCCCTTGGACTTGCTCCAAGCTCAGCTGCCTCACCTGCTGTCTGTTCCAAAACACACACCTGGGGTGACACAAGGTGGATGTGATGGCACTTAGAAAACAGACACCAACTGAGTCAGGCTCTATGACATGAGGCCAGGCTGCTGTAAAACTCAGCAAAGGGTAGCTGCTACAGACCAGCAGCTGTTCCCTCTGGGATCCTAACAGGAATCTCTAGGTCCAACCATTTGCAAGGCCAGGGAACAATGGAGACCATGCCAGGGAAACTTGTGTAGGCATGGATGACATTAGGTGTTTACACACAGGATGAAAGGCATTCTGAAACAGAATTTCAGCAAACCCTTTAGTGTTTTTAGAGAGATGCCCCCTCTAACTACCCAGTCACAAAGCCACACCTGTCAGGCAGGGGTGCAGAACCACGTCAGCCAACAGGCCCACCACAGTGTCCAAGCCTTTGCTGTCTGCAGACACAGCATACATGGTGGTGTCTCTGGAAGGAAATAAGCCACAATGGAAGGTGCTAGGTTTAGATCAGAGGAGCCACCAATGCCCACAGTGAGGCTTTCCAAAGATACAACAGACCAGATTGAGTTGACTCCCCTCTCTCCATAGACGAAGTCTCTCCAGCTAAATAACTAGCTGGTAGAGCTAGACTACCCTCAGACAGCTGTCAGGGGCCTGCTTGTCTCGTTTAGCATCCCTCACAGGTCAAGGCCTGGACAAGTTCCCAGGATGGCAGGGAAGGAAGAAACAAGCACGCTATGCTCTCTGTCCCCCGCACTCCATCAGGCCGGCTGCTAATCTCTGCAGCCTCTCTGATTCAAGGGACTCCCAGAGTATGGCCAAGGATGAAGAGGACAGCTCCACATGGACACACAATACCTTGAGGTCTGGCAGTCACAGATACCGCCATGTTTTTCCAGGGTAAGCAGAATTTCATCTTTGCTGTCAAATCGAGCAGTAGACTATAAAAATAAGAAAAGCTTAAGTAAGCAATCCAAAACCCAGGAAATACTAAGGAAAGTTTACTTTTGCTTTCAAACACACAAAATTATATATATGTCTCTAACGATTTAGCATCAATAGAACCATTAACTAATACAAGTTCTAAATAGAGAAAAAATTAAGTCATAAAAATTACAAATTAGAAACTGACCGAAAATGCCAATTTTTCCAAAAAATGGGCAATTCCACTAAGATACTTCGCTTCATATCGTGATCCTGAATTAATAAGAACTGGTAATAAGAAGAAAATTGAAGGGTTATGTCAGATAGTCAAAACATATTTAATCAACAGAAAGCTTTCAAAACCATGGTTGTAACTTGGCCAGTCATTACTACGTGGGGGCAATGAATACATCTGCTATCCTAGGTGATGGTCTTACACACACACACGTTAATGTATATCTATACATGATAGAAACTTCTAAAATTACAGAAAAGTAAAATGGGGAGGGCGAGGAATACCCTACACACCACCTCCAAACATGCCATCATTCACATCTTGGATAAGCTTTCAAGATTTACAAGATTCCCCTGTGAGTAGTCCATGATGGACATGCTAATTGCAGCTGTCAAACCGAGAGCCCACCTTGAACAGGCCAACAGAACTTACTTCCTACGGTACAGAATTGTCCAAACTTATTTTGAGATGCCACACGAAGCCCATTGTCCAGCGTGGTAATTTTGGTTTCAAACTTTTCCTGTCCATCAACTGTAGCAAAGACAGGCTTGGGCACTCCAGGTAAAGGAGAAGAGAGGGGGATGTTGGGGTATGGGGCACCACTGCTGAACTGTCTGTGTGCAGGAGGTCCAAACCTACAACAGAGCAAGCAGCCAGTTACATGCACTAGTGGTGACCACTCATGTGCACCACATGTGTGTGCATGCGAAGTCTTCAGTGGAATTTATTCCACGGTCCTCAACAGAATGTGTAAAGCGATAGAGATCCAGGTTCTGCCATAGGATCTCAGGCACGCTGGTTCAGGCCTTTGGATCCTTTTTAACAGAAAAATAATTATTTATTCTTATTTTATGTGTTTGAGTGTTTGCCTGCACGTATGTATGTGCATCACGCGCATGCCTGGTGTCCAAGGAGGTCAGAAGAGAGCGCTGGGTCCCCTGAAGTGGCAATATGAATGCTGTTAGCCACCATGTGGTTGCCGGGAACCAAACCCGGAGGAAGCAATCGGTGATTAGCGGCTGAGCCGCCTCTCCAGCCCCAGATCTTTGAGTCTTCATTGCCCATTCTGGACAGCAGGCTGTGTGAGAAACCATTTGCCGCATATAAGGCCCAGGGCGAGCCCTGCCCTTCGGAGCTCTGTCTTGGGGTCTGGAAGACCCCAGCCGGCAGACTACCAACCCCTCCAAGCAGCTTCCAGTCCCGGGCTCATTCTTCAGGCCCAACGCTCAGAGCTCTGCTCCAGGACCCATACTCCTTTTCAGTTCTCTAGGGTGCCTGACCCCCCCCCCCCCCCCCCCCCCCCCCCCCCCCCCCCCCCCCCCCCCCCCCCCCCCCCCCGAGTTCCCACTTCTTCGCGCCGAGTCACGCCTCGGTTTACCTGGGCCGCGCGCACCGAGCCGCAGAGCCCCGAAGCAGCCGCGCAGCCGCCCATACAGCCGTCGCCATCGCGCCGCCGCGCTTCTGCGGTCACTTCCGCTTCCTGCCCCGCCCCGCGGCGTTCGGCGCTGGCTTCCGGCCGGCCGTGCCGGGTCGGGCATAAGCTGGCAGCGGCGCGGTGGGCCATGGGGTCGCGGCCGGGTTAGGGCGCGGCGATGTCGGGCTACGCGCGGCGGCCGGGCGCGCCCCCACTATCGAGGACGCGGAGCCTCGTGGTTCCTGACGGTGAGCGGCGCGCGACTGGGGCCGGGCCGGGGGGCGCGGGCGGAGGCGGCCCGCGGTGAAGCCGCTCTCGTTGTCGCTTACAGCTCCTGCGTTCTATGAGCGCCGGTCTTGTCTCCCCCAGCTAGACTGTGAGCGCCCCCATGGCGGGGACCTGCACCCCCACCTCTTCGGCTTTCGGCCGACGTTTATGTGCTATGTACCCAGCCCGGTGCTGGCTCCGGTAGGAGACACAGGTGAGAGTCGGGGCGCCGACCGCAGTGCGGAGCCGGGCAGCGCGGGGAACCCTCCCCACAGCCCGCCCCAAGGCAGGAAGGTCAGTGTCCGGTGGAGTTCGGAGACCACTTCAGCCCACCGGACTGGGAGAGGCCAGGGGCTGGACCTAGTGAGCGCGCAGGAGTGTGTAGTGTACTGCGCCCAGTTTTAGGAGACGTTCTCCTATTCCCAGACCAGTCAGTGGGAATCAGGCGGTCTGCGGTCTTCACCTCCCTGGACAAATGCTGCAGTCATAAGGCTTGCTGTGATTACGGTGAGCTGACAATGTCTCTTTGCAGATTTTGGCTATGGAAAGGGGAAATGTACTAAGCAAAGTCCGACGGGAGCCCATGAGACGCGCTTTGGAGGTAGAGTAGCTTAGTGATTCTTCTTGTCCTCTTCCTCAGACACGATGCCAGGCAGTGCTCTGGCCGTGAACAGTCAGAATGACAGGGTTTAATGGGTGTGCCTGGAGCCCTAGAAACCGAAGGATTGGAGACTAGGTGTGAGGGCAAAATGACCTAAGATGTCAAGAGGTGCCTGGGAGGTGGAGAGTATCATCAAAGGGACACAAGTCACAGGAGCCCCCTTTACAGGGGCTGGCACCTGGAAGAGACAGACCCACATAAGTAACTGGAGTGTGGTAGGTGTGGAAGGAGGTAGAGGCTAGTCAACTAGGTAATCCAGAGAAAAGGTCAGAAGAAGGGATGACGGAGCAGTTCTGGGCACTGTGGCATCACTGGAGCTGTGACGCTCCTACAGGAGTACCCTTTAGCCCAAACTGAGCGTGTGAAGTCAAGTCAGCCTTAACCATCTGGAAGATTCCCTGGGCAGCTTCAGTGTTAGACCAGTTGCCTGAGTGTGTGTGGGACCCTGGATTTGATCTTTGGTACAGCATTTTTTTTTTTTCAAGGTAACAAGGGATATCTGGGGGAGACCCAAGTTCTCTACTCGCTTTGGGTCTCTTTTTTGTCCTATGGCATTCTTTGAATCCCAGTTGAAATACGATGGTAACATAAGATGTGGTTGGCTCCTTTAACAGTCATTGTGGTGTCCATCATTTCAGGTGACAAACTTGAAGACCTTGAAGAAGCCAATCCGTTTTCCTTTAAAGAGTTTCTGAAAACCAAGAACCTCAGCCTGTCAAAAGAAGACACAACCAACAGTCGAGTTTACCCGAAGGTACATCTGGGAAGCTGTCGGTGGCTGCCTTAGACAGCGTCTCTTCTAACGCACAGCTTTGGAGACAGACATTTGAGTGTGGGGAACAAAGCAGGACAGCTGATGGAGAAGCGGGNGGCGGGGGCGGCGGGGGGGGGGGGGGGGGGGGGGGGGGGGGGGGGGGGGGGGGGGGGGAAGCAGCTGCTTGGCCCCTTTGGTAGATGAACTAGGCCTTCTTTGTGCAAGCTGAGCAGAAAGAAGGCCGAGCATCGGCTCGCAGGTCTCAGTGTTTGTCTCCACTGTTTTTAGGAAGCCTCGAGGCACCCCTTGGGACTAGACCACAGCTCCCCTGCCTCCCAGCCCATGGGGTATGGCCTGGAATATCAGCAGCCATTTTTTCAAGACCCAACAAGAGCCAGCAACCTGGAGGAGGAGGAGGAAGAAGATGGATGGAATGGCACCTACTTGCCGTCCGCCGTGGAGCAGACTCATTCCTCTAGGGCCACAGAGAATTCCTCGCCCTGTGGCACCTACCTGTCCTTTTTTTCCAACACATCAGAGCTGGCAGGTCCTGACTCTTTGCCCCCATGGACACTGAGTGACACCGACTCAAGGATCTCTCCAACATCTCCAGCTGGGAGTCCTAATGCAGACTTTACAGCTCTCGGAGAGTCGCTGGGAGACAGACACCTGCGGACGCTGCAGATAAGCTATGAAGCGGTGAGTGAGGGCTGGGCGGCACCAGACAGAGCTGGGCAGTGTTCTAGAGGAAGAGTGCGGTCCTCCTCTTCTTGGGCAGCCTGGGCTTAATGCCAGAGACAAGACAATTGGTCATGTAGTATCCTGCTGTAGAATTTCCCCTAGAGAGGGGCCTAGAGATGTAGTTCAGTAGTAGCGTGTTTTTCCAACACTTGAGAGGTCCTGGGTCCTGAAAACTAAGAGAGAAAATGGGAGTTCTCCGTGGAGCACTCTCCCCTTTGTTGGCTCTGACTGTGCTGTTAGTGTAGCAGACTGAGGAGTACTGTGGTGAGTGGAGTCGGGCAAGCATGAGCTAGAATAAATGAATGGAAATGTTGGCCTGGGGATATCCTGCTGAGTGTCCTATGTGAAGGAAGGTTTTAAAACCAATCACCTGGAGACATTCAAGTCTGTTGCCACGGTCATCTAAGGGCCGGAAGGTGGTTCCATTGACCTAGGGTGTTTTAAGTTCTGGAGCTGGGTGTGGTAATGCACAGCTGTCCTTCCAACACTTGGAAAGTGAGGGCAGAAGGAACAAGAGTTCACGGCCATCCTTGGTCATGTAGGAACAAATTAGAGTGCAACCTGGTTACGGGAGATGCTGCCTCAAAAAGATACTTCATGAGCAAGTGAGATGTGTCTCCACACTCAGCCCTGCCTCAAATGCATAAGGCTCTGGGTTCCACCTGCAGACTGCCCAAAGAGAATATTCTAGAACAGAAGTATGCTCCACAGTAGCAAGGGTGTCTAATGAGGATTTTTTTCTCTCTCTACAGCTGAAAGATGAAAATTCTAAGCTCAGAAGAAAGCTAAGTGAGGTTCAGAGCTTCTCTGAAACTCAAACAGACATGTATGTAAACTCGTAGTTAGGCATCACCTTACAGACCTTCTCTACCATTCACAGAACTTGGTTCCAAGGGATGAGGTGCCTAGCCGCTTGTCTTCCATATCCCTTAAAGCAGCAAACAAACGTCTCATGTTCTGTTTTAGTCTTTTTAAGCACCAGACACAAGTCAGCTGAACTTTGCCTTGGTTGGCAGAGCTTGAGGAAATGGTATTTGTGCCTTCCACTGGGAGTATGAAACAGCAGTGGCTGGAGGTCCTTGCCGCCTTGTGGCTGCCTGAGGCAGCTGCTCCGTCCATGGGGCTAGTGGGTTTCTCCAGTTAATCAGTCTAAAGTGCTATTGGAAGCATCCTTGACAGTGGCCTGGAGAACTCAATTCAGTGTTTCCTTTACTGAGGGTGAGGACGCTTGAACGAAAGTTGGAAGCGAAGATGATCAAGGAGGAGAGTGACTTCCATGACCTGGAGTCAGTGGTCCAGCAAGTCGAACAGAACCTCGAACTGATGACCGTACGGAGGGGGCTCTGCTCTGGGGTAGTGGGCAGGGGACAAGAAGCTGCTGAGACGGCACTTGCTGCTGTTGCCAGAGTCCACAGCTGGACCCTGAGTCTCTCACCATGCTGAGTATGTGTTCTGTGGTAGGCCAACATTCCCTGATACTATAAACAGGCTGTGTCTTTGAGTAGGTGGGCCCCAATGCTGTTGGTGAGCCGAGGTAGAGCCCAGGTCCTAAGGGATGGGTATCCATGGGCAGAGTGGCCAGGAAGGGAGGTTCTAGCTCACTGCTGTCTGTTGCTCTAAGTGTCCTATACTGATACAGCCTTAGTGATGTGTGTTGTTTATTTTGGGGGTCCACAGAAACGAGCTGTAAAAGCAGAAAATCATGTCTTGAAGCTGAAACAGGAAGTAAGTTTGCTCCAGGTAAGTGAAAAGAAGGATTTCACTGTTTGCTCCTTCCTTTGTAAAGTCCCAGAGATGTGAGTTCAGGGAAGAAACAAAACGTGCCCCAGGCATGGTGCTGTTTGCTTATAATCCCAGCATTCAGGAGGCTGAGGCAAAAGAATAGTCAGACGTTTATGACCAGCATGGGCTACAGGGCAAGAAGTGCCAGTTGTGAGTAGATCAGGGCCAGGCTCAGCACCATGTGCAAGTCTGTGCCTCTTGGGTGTGATGCAGTTTGCCACTGGGTTGCTTGTGACACTAATTCCTCACCCTCTTTGTAGACGCAGCTCTCCAACTTCAAGCGAGAGAATGAAGCCTTGCGGTCAGGCCAGGGTGCCAGCTTGGCAGTTGTGAAGCAGAACACCGATGTGGCCTTGCAGAACCTCCATGTTGTCATGAACAGTGCACATGCATCCATAAAGTGAGTCCCTGGATAGCCTGGCTCTACAGTCTGACTAGACCAGGAAAGGAAATGTGTTGAGTGGTCTGGCTACCCTTCTAGCTCACACTATACACAGTCAAGCACGGTTATTCTCTTCTTTTTGCGATGGGGTCTCACCACGTAGCTCTGACTGTTCTGGAACTACGTAGATCAGGCTGGCTTTGAACTCACAGAGATCCGCCTGCCGTGCTAGGCCAGGATTAAAGGCGTGCACCACCATGCCTGGCTTGTTTTTTGAGACAAAGTCTCACTATATAGCCCTGGCGGCTCTGGAACTGTGTATAGACCAGGCTGGCCTCACATTCACAGAGATCCCCTGCTTCTATCTCTCAAGTTATAGGATTAAAAGTATACATTATCATGCTTAGTTTAGGATTTTGTTTTGCTTTGTTTTGCTTTTTCGAGCCAGGGTTTCTCTGTGTAGCCCTGACTGGCCTGGAACTCTGAAGACTAGG